TCCAGAAACCTCCAAGGAGCACYAAAATGTCCAAAAAACCCTTGCCAAAACTCTCATTCACCCCAAGCTCTGCCTTCCAACCCAACGCTTCCCAAGCTGGCAGACGCTGTTACACAATTCTAAACTCCCCTGGAGTGGTGAGATTTAATTAATGCTTGAGGAGTGCTTTGGAAATAGGAGAGTGTTAATTATTACAGCCCCAGTGACACAAAAGATCATACACCTGACTGCAGGTGTTGGGTTTACAGGGTCTGTGCCTTACTCTGAGTCTCAAATTTTGGGGCAAAAATCACAGCTGGGCCAGGCACAGCCCATCTTCAGGGCAATCCTGTCTGATTCTCCAAGGGGTGTGAAATTCCAAAAAAAAGACACAATTCCTTGGGACAATTCAGGTGCCATGCAGCAAAGAAATTCAGATTTTATCAGGAACAAATTCCCATGGCAGGTGCACCTGCACCGCTGCTCCCCCATCCCATGAGWGGTGTCAGCTTCTCAAAAGATCTTTCCTGTGGGAGAACCCATTTCAGGGCATGGGAAACTTAAAAGTGCCATTCTCATCCCRAAAKGGTGATGAGCRGAGRTGGACAAAATCTAGCAGGTCCTCRGGATTCCCTGGATAWTCTGCTGCCTCCTGGAGAAGTTCTRTGGACAAGGTCASGACCTCTCCAACYGGATCTGAGGAAGYCAGRCCACAACCAAGATTTAAATGAGCCACGTTGTCTGCGGGGCAGTGTTATTTAAGGGCAAAGGAAGGAAATTGTCTGTGTGAATGTGCCATAAACAGAGCTCCAGGTGAGCTGGCCAAGTGCAGAGGAGCTGYTCCTGCTCATGAGAGCTTCCCCCGCACCAAAATCCACAGGTGGGGCACCAGACAGAGTTAAAAATACCTCTCCAGTGAACASTGGGTGCTGGGACTATCTGTTCTACCAGCTCAATTAAAGGATTGTGCTCGAAGGGATCTGAGGATCTACCCAGCCCCCGAGAGAAGAATAACAACTATAGGAAGAGGTAAGTACTCCCCTTTCTGCCTGCCTTGCTGTAATTACGCCTTGCTCTGAGCTATTTGTAGTTTCAGCAGCCAATTCTGGATCCTCCGATGTACCCATTAAAGCTGCAAGAGAAGCGGGAAACTGAGCTGGGAGGAAGAGGTAGGCGTTCATTTCGGGAGCATCTTCACCTGGAAAAACCATCCTCAACCACAAAAACGCACCCCGGGGTGAGAAACAACATCCTGAGCAGGGTTGGGCTCCTCCAGAATAGCCCAGGGAGGTGGGAGAGAGCAGGGAGGCTCTGCAGATGGGAAGGGAGGGTTTGTCCAGCCCCACACGAGGGGGAATTTGCAGATGGCCCAGGGCTGTGACAATGACACAAACCTGGCCCAGAAAAGGGGAGTCCCTTGAGTCAGGGACCACTGGATGCAGGAGAGACACTCAGCACATCCCAGAGCCAAGCCCAGGTTGCTCAACACTGACCTTGCTCTGAGCCTGCCCAAAAACCCTCGCAGGTTTTGCCTGATCATTCACCAAAATTGAGACGTACAAAACCAGCAGGAAATCCCACAGATATGGGGCTGCTTGTGATGTTTCCAGCCTTTCCATCTTCTGTTTTTGCAAGTGTCAAAAAGTGAGGAATTTCTACCAGAGCTTGCAGAGGGAAACAATGAGCTCAGCACTGGATGAGGGGCACGGGTGTCTTGTTGTACACTCCTAATGCACCTCCCAAAAATGTCACATTTTGGGTAAAGCTCCTTCCTCCTTGTCCTCTGCCTGAGTGGATCAGACCCAGAGCTCTCAGAGCCCATGTGGATCAAACCCAGAGCTCTCAGAGCATGGGTGGATCAGACCCAGAGCTCTCAGAGCATGGGT